ACCATGTGTGGAAAGTTTACAGGGGAAAAAAAGATGGAATCACAAAAGGGAGTAAGCAATTAGACTGTCAAAGATGAGCACGCAACTTTTTTGAAAAAGCAAAGAGAAACTCTGAAATTGGAAAAAAATATAATTGTTAAAGAAAATGCTCAGTGATGTGTTACAAGACAAACACAAAAATGTGTTGTGTGTTCTTCTAGCTGACTCTTAACCATGGTGGATTTTTCTTCTCCTCTGTGTGGTTTTTGAAAGTGAGCGCATATTTGACTGATCGAGATCTTTAAAAAAGGTGGGGGCCTGCATTGGTATTTTTCCCTCTGCAGAGGTATGCATTTATTTCTGCCAGGAATCAGAACGTACTACTAGGGTGGTCCTACTCCAGCTCTCATCCAGGTTGACTGGCTTAACCTAGGAGTCTCAGGTTTGTATCACTTCCCTTTCTTCTCACTGCACTAAAGCCTTGTCTCCTGGCACCACTGATGTGGGCAGCTGCCCCTAGCAAATCAACCTTCTGGAAGCACCCACCACTTTGGTTTCAGCTCCTGGTTTGTTAGTTTATTTCTCTCTCTTCGAGCTATGACATAAATGTAATTTTTAAAAAATGGATGTCATAGTTGTTTTGTAGGAAGGTCCTACAAATTAACTAGTCCACCACAGTGTGGGAAACAGACTCTACTAAATGTATTTTTTCACTTACTAGATATTAGGTTAAAACACAAATTAGTATGGCTGAACCAGTCCACAAGCTCTTAAACCCAAAGTATGCCCTAGTGTAGATACTGGTGGCCACAAAGATCTGGCAAACAAATACAACAATGGCAGAACCCCATGTAAGTGACTATCTTTTTGCCAACATCCTATTCTAGGCTTTATTTATTCGGAGGGAGGGTAGGCAAAAGTGAGTGAATCAAATATAAACTAAATCTTTCTGAAAACATGTCAGAAAAAAATAAAAATAAAAACCTTACTTTCTGAACAGCTTTAGACTTAAAGACACGCTTTACTTCATGTATGTATACAGTGTACTTCATTAACATTTAACACACACACAACAGACTCCTACAAGGAAATTGAAGGTGATACCATGGTTCTCCATTTTATCAAGGATAAAAGTTTTGTGATTTAGAATGGGAGTCACTATAAGTATTTGCTAAAGCTGGCTCTTGCCAAGTTCCTTAACATCATTCCCAAATTTTGGTCATACTCATTCTGGGGTTGAGGAATGCTCTGGTAGAACCTATCTCTAACAGAATTCTGACCCATTGGATGTTCCCCCACTGGATGGGGTTGGGATTATGGAGGAAGATAGTGATGTCCATGGCTACTCTCGACTTACACAGCATCCAGCTTTGTCCCATTGAAAGCATGTCCTTGGATTGAAGTAAATCCATTGTTGTATAATTTCCTACAATCAAGAGAGAGAGGAGAAATCAGTGCCTCATAAGAGGTGCTGGTTGGGCTTCATTTCTGCAGTGTCAGAAATGTGCATGAAGATTCTCAGGTCCCACAAGAAAACTTTACAGTATGTCTTGCTTGGAACATAGAATTTTTCCTACTTTGAATCCCCTTTTACCAGACAGCTCCTAGTAACTTCAAACTATTTCTCAGAAACAATTCATTTTGAGAAGCAAAGATTTGCCACCATTGAGAATTTAAAAAAAAAATATTCTACTACCTATACTCAAAAAAAGAAGAGTTTGGGGTAATACTTAACCCAATGTCAATAATGAAGGATAACTTCAGTTTTTTTTTTTTCTTTTTTTCAAATGGTTTATTTATTTATTTGACAAAGAGAGCACAAGGAGGCAGAGTGGCAGACAGAGGGAGAAGGAGGAGCAGGCTTCCTGCTGAGCTGAAAGCCCAACATAGGGCTCAATCCCAGGACCCTGAGATCACAACCTGAGCCAAAGGCAGACGCTTAATTGACTGAGCCACTCAGGTGCCCCTAACTTCAGTTTCTTTCTTTCTTTCTTTTTTTTTTTTTTAAGATTTTATTTATTTATTTGACAGAGATCACAAGTAGGCAGAGAGGCAGGCAGAGAGAGAGAGAGAGAAAGAAGGAAGCAGGCTCCCTGCTGAGCAGAGAGCGAGCCTAATGTGGGGCTCGATCCCAGGACCCTGAGATCATGACCGGAGCTGAAGGCAGAGGCCTTAACCCTCTGAGCCACCCAGGCGCCCCTAACTTCAGTTTCTTAAGACGAATATTTTTAAAGACATTGCTCACCTGAATGCATAAGCTTTATATTTTTCTGTTTAAAATGTTACATCACACTTGTATTTTATCCAAATTTTTATCCTTATAGCTTATCATAGATTAAATGCTTAATGATCGTGGGCTGGATTAAGTTGAACTTCAAAGACAAATCTAAGAAAGGAGATAGGTCATACCCTTTTGTGGAAATTTTGATGTTTTAAATTGTTGCTATGTTTCTGCAGCTAATTCATGCAATGATTCCAGGGGCTGGACTGAAGTTGACACTCTCCTCTGTCTCCTAGTCAAGCCACTGAGAGGTGGAGGTGACTTGCAAAGAAAGCCACCTTGATGTGGACCTGTCAGGAATCAGGATTTCTGACCTCAAAGTGATTCTCCCCACCCACCCAAAGGAGAGGGAGCTCTGGCCATGGGAGCTCTGGTCTCCAAGAGGATGCATGGGGACTACTGACGTGTCTTAAGAGAAGGCAGCCATGACCACAGTCAACTACAATTAGTGGCAATTGTAGGGGAACTCTGAAATGACTGTAGTCCACCACCTTTCAACTTTGATGACACATTAGAAGCACACAAGAGACTCTAAATTTGGAATTAGACCCGTCTCTGTCACTTCATAGTATGTAGATCCTGAGAACTTCTCGGCTTCTACTGCCTTCAGTTTTCTTATCTGTAAGAATACAATCATAATAATACCTAGTCAAATATATATTTATCAATGTGGGACACTTATAAGATGAGCATGTTAAAAGGAATACCCTGAAAACTTGGATTTAAACTCTGTAGTTGTGCGGAACTGAGAGTAATCTTTGTTTGTTGTTATTTTTGATTTGTTTTAAATAATCACACAATGAGTTTAATTCCAGCTACTGATGTGTCCTGGGTGAGGACCGTAGTGGACGGGAGTGCTAGGCACAGAGGCTGAAGAAAGCTCTGAGAGATAAGTTCATTTTTTCTGAATTAGAGGGGTTTTTTTTAAAGATTTTATTTGTTTATTAGACAGAGATCATAAATAGGCAGAGAGGCAGGCAGAGAGAGGGGGGGAAGCAGGCTCCCTGCTGAGCTGAGAGCCCAGTGCGGCCACGATCCCAGGACTCTGAGATCATGACCTGAGCTAAAGGCAGAGGCTTAACCCACGGAGCCACCCAGCCACCCAGCCCCTGAATTAGAGTTCTTTTATGTATATGTGAGAATTATACATTTGGGATTTCTATTTTCTGAAACTTTGTTAAGAGTCTTAGACAATGAAAATATTCTTTGTTAGGATTACATTTCAGAGATTAAATGAAACTCTTAATAGACAAATAGGCCTTAGAAAGGGAAAATAATGAAGGAAGAAAAAAAATAGTGAAAAAGAAGGAAAAGAAAAATAAGGATTGCAAACTTCGATTGAAACTCTATCCGGCCAGGAATATGCACATGAATTCACCGCTGGACACACACCCTCTCATGCAGTATTTTGAGCATGAGCTTTGAAGAAGCAAGGACTTTTGCAGGAATGTAAAAATGATCATCCAAAAAGATAATGGGCAACCCATGCCATCCCCCACTCTTGATTTCAGGAAGCACAGGATTCCCTCATTCAGATGTTTATTAAATGCCTACTGTGCCCATGCTCCATGGGACAAGGAGCTGCTTTCCCTGGAGAAGGCTGCCAGAGGCATGGGGTCCTTAGAAAAAAAGGCCAAACGGTGAAGATAAAGAAACTGAGAAATGAGTTTAGATGCAATGAGTGGTTCAGTTGCACAACGGAAACCTTCATAGAGGAGGCAAAAGGCCTGGAGGCTTGGGACTGAGCAGGCTAAAGGCTCCAGGTTTTTGCTGTGTTGTCAGATGAAATGATGGCCAAGTAGAGTCTCTCCTCTTGTCCAAAGACCTATCCCCATGTTTCAAGGAGAAGGATGAAATGCTTCACTGTGACTAGAGACTCAGAGGCTGAGGCAGTTTCATAGGGCTTAGACTGATAGACTTAGAATGCCTTGGAAGCAGCTTCTTTTAAGAGTTGTGGGGATGCTTGGATCAATTTTATTGGGGAATAATCCAATCAAGTTTGTATCTCACAAAAACCCTCTGGACTGTAGTGTGACCAGAGAAAGGGAACTGGGTAACAATCCAGGCAAAAAAGCCAGGAGGCCTGAGCTTGGGCGGTGGTACTGAAGCTAGAGAGGAATCCTTTGGACAACTCCAGTTCATGGCTAATTTGATGACAGAGGGGAGTTCTCTACAAGTTTGGAGAATTAACTTATCTTTTATACCTCTACTAGACTTCTTTATTAGAATACTTTATGAATTTCTCTAAGAAACATCTCCTTTTGAACATCTAAAGAGCAGAACTCATCAGAACTCTGAAAAATAATGATGTAGAGCAACACCGTTTTCTATTCAATAGAGTTTTGTAGGACCTTCTTAACAGTTGTGATAACAAGTTGAGTGTGAGTGCAAAGAGCATGAGAAGCTCTTAGTTGCACCTTTTTCTAACTCAGTGATCTTGGAAAAGTCACCACTCTAACCCCAGGTTCTTCCTGTATATAATGGGGATATTAGAATACCGTATATTACAAGGTCTTCAGGTCAAATCTGGTCTACTACTTGTTTTTGTAAATTAAATTTGATTTGAAAGACAGGCTTACTAGTTTATGTTTGTGTATGGCTGCCTTTTGCCTATAATGGCAGAGGTAAGCCATTGCCGCAAAGACCATGTGTTCTGTAAGACCTAATGGTCATCTCTAGATCAAGTGTGCTGACCATTTCTATAAGGGAATACTTGTCTTGTTACTTAAACCATTTTGTCATCAATTAGACTAACATATCATAAGGCAATCCTCTTATTTAACTCTGAAACCTTTAGGAGATCGTAGAGCACATCCTATAGTATGTTTCTTGGAGGGACTGTGAAAATAAGGCAATGGTCCAAATAACATTTTGGTTGTTGGCAGGAGTAGAAATGGCAGTACTCACAGTGTCAGGGTTTCATTGCACAGCCCCTGGAAAGCATTGGCAGGGATGGAAGTCATGTAAGGGTTGTCTGTGATTTCACTGCAAAAGAGGGACAAAAAGACACTTGGTGAAAAAAAAAATGCTTTCCTCCAGGGGCTGGGCTTTTGCTCCACCCTATGCACTCAAATAAATAACCTGATGCAATTTAGTTTAATCTTGTTTATTTTTAGGTTTTGTTGACTCCTCTTAGCTGCTGGTGGCTCAGAGGTTCAGTGAGGCATGGAGAGCTGTCATAGCGGGATGTGCACTCACAGCCTTCCAGAGCTTTGGGGGTGGGCTGAAGCCCTGACTAAATCCTCATTTACAAGGGGAGCAGGAGCCTTAGAGACTTCAGTAAATCTGTGACAAATACTTGACCCATAGCAACTAGAGTTTTCTAAGTGTATGGAACCTCTAAAAAAGGCTGGTACAATGAGATCAGTGGATTTCTTTTTATGAGTATTACTGAAGTGTCCTATACTTGCAAACTACTGCCCAGCGGATGTGCCTGAAGAACTTTCTGTGCCAGTCTAGTTGCTAGAAGACTGCCTATTTTTGAACTGTGCTCTTCAGCAGCAAAGAAGCGTGGTCAAATTTTTTTTTTTTTTTTTTCCTGGCAAAATCCCGAGAGTTCAGATCCGACCACTCCACCTTTTGCTGACTCTGTGGTGGAGACTCACCCTGTAATGCTGCATAAGTCTGTTTACTTCTATACAACGAGGTAAGACACGTGACTGTGTCACAGGTTTTGGAAAAGGGCACATGGCCACCAATCAGAAGCCACAGGAAGTAGTTTGAACACCACTGGTTTCTGCTCCTTGGGACTCTGCTCAGACAAAATCACTTAGGTTTTCTGTTCCTCCGTTTCTTCATTTATAGAATGCAAAAAAAAATTATAGCTGCCTTTTACACATTATAAGGAGGTCAAGAGTAGCAAACATAAGAATACATGTGTCTGAAAAGCTATTAAAATCATGTGGAAGATAAAGTATCATCATTATTGTCAAATTTTCCTTCTATTTGATCACTCTCATCAGCAAACAAACATGCCATAATTTGTCCCATCAAACAACAAGAAACAACAAAAATAAACCTTTTCTCCTGTCCCAGGATGCTCCAACTACTGAGATATGTTTCCGCTCCTTTTTAATAGTAAGACTTCTCAAAAGAGTTTGTAATAGTCACTTTCTCTAAGTCTTTCCTTCTGATTCTTTCTTGAGCCAACTCCAACCGGAGTTCACCCTAGAGCTCCATTGGAACTGCACTTGTCGTAATCACCAAAGTCCCCTGTTACTAAACCCAATGGTTGTTTCTCAGTTTCTGCCTTACTTCATCTGCCAGCACATTTGTCACAGCCGATCACTGCTTCCCCTTGAGACAACTGCTTCACTAGGTTTCAACCAACCCCTAGGATTGCACCCTACTTCTCGTCAGTGACAAAATACTGGTAAACATTGCATATGTGCATACTTACAGTATAAAGAATACATCAGTGGAATAAACTTTGGTCAGGTCAGGGAATACTCCAAGTCCAGTGTTGAAAATACCACTATAGTGCATGAAAAGGAAGAAGAGGGAACAGAAATAAGGTAAGAAAACCAACACATAGGAAGTAGATTAATGTACTAGTTGAAAGCATGGGTTCTGAAGTCAGACTCGAGTCAAATCCTAACTCTTTCATTAAATATCTGAGTGACCTGGCTAAGTTCTAACCCTTGGAGATGTTCCTCCTTCAAGGTATAAGAATCTAATTCAACCCACCAGTGTCAATACATTTTTTTTCTGTTTATAGGAATATGAAGACTCTTTCAACCAAGTAGGCGTCTTATAAACAGGAATTCAGGTCTCTTTCCATGTGTGCATGCGTGTGTGTGGTATTTCCCTGTTTTCATTGGAGGGCATTTGGGGGGGGCAGTGGAATAAGGAGAAGGTGGGACAGAAAGACAATATAA